CGGGAGGCGGGATCCCCCCCCGGGAACAACGAGCACCGGAGCGCGGCCGGAGCCGGGGAAGAGCGAAGGGAGAATAAACCCCAGCCCCGCGCTCGCCCGTCTCGCCCCTCGCGCTCCAGCTGCGGGCACCGCGAGACCCCTGTCCCCCGGGGGGCGAACTGTTCCCGTCCCCGCAGCTGTGGAGAGAGGCGAAAGGGCCTTGTCTTCCCAAAGAATTCCCGTTCCCACACGTTTCCCGGTGTTTCCCTGCGCTGCGTGCCAGTGAGACGCGGGCGCTTCACGCGGCGGTCGCTCGCTCGTACTGCAGACGTGAACCGGCGCGAGGGGCCGTGGCCGCAGTGCGCCGGACAGACGTGCTGGCAGCTCCCATTCCGTGCAAAATTCCCAGCCTCTCCAAGCCAGCGGTCTGCATATGGCCCCCAGTGCACACATAGCCCTGATGTTTGTATCGCGTGTGACACCAGTGACACCTTCTTGTAGGGCCGCTGGCTTCATTTGAGGGCTGCTGGGGCAAAATCTGGTGCTCAGTGCGAGTTATTTTACCTGGAAAGTCATGTCCTGCGCAAGGTGCCTCCGTCAGACCGAGACCAGCAAACAAGCCAGGACTAAGGATGTGTCCAGGCATCTCCTGCAGCTCCGTGGAGCAGCTCAGGGACAAAGAAGGGCAAAGGGCTGGATATGCTGAACTTGGCCTGAGCTGTGACAAGTGCTGTCTGGTCTCAGCCCCCAGCCCTGCTCATGTGGAACTGGGGGTGAAGCAGCACCGAGTAGCTGAAAAGAAAATGCAGCGGAGCAGCGTGTGTCCACTTCTGTATTTTATTTTATTTTATTTTATTTTATTTTATTTTATTTTATTTTATTTTAATCTTTCATCTTTTATTCTTTATTTATATTAATTTATTATTATTATATATTTTATCTATTTTTCATTTTTTGATCGCTCACGTGCCGCCCCCTCGCCCCTACTGCAAAAGCATTGCCGCCTGGGCGGCCTACTCGAGAAAAACAAAAATAAAAATATAGTAAAGCAAATGAATAAAATCCCAAAATAAAATTGAAAGTAATAATATAGCAATAAAAATAATGTGGCATTGCAAATAAAATAATAAAATGAAATGAAATAAAAAATAAAAATAAATAAAATAAAAAATATGTATAATAAAAATGAATGAAATGATATAACAAAAAAAATAACATGGGAATGCCCCATCTGGATCAACGTGCCTGGGGACAAGCAGCAGGGAAGCGCGCCCAGAGCCGTGAGCCCCCGCGCGCTTTGGGGCCGCCGGCGCTCGGGGGCTCTGCGCTGGCGAGGAAGCAGCGGCCAGCGAAGGCAGGCGCCGTAAG